TCCTAGTTTGACCCCGTAATGCCTGGTTCTGGGCTTGTTTGACCCAGTACCGACTGGTTTTGGACCAGTTGGTCATGGTTTGACCCGGTAATAACTGGTTCTGGACCTGTATGTCCTGGTTTGACCTGGTACCGACTGGTTCTGGACCTGATGGTCCTGGTTTAACCAGGTTTTGGACCTGTTGGTCATGGTTTGACCCGGTACCGACTGGTTCTGGACCTGTTGGTCCTGGTTTGACCCGGTACTGACTAGTTCCAGATGTGTTGGTCGTGGTTTGACCCGGTACCGACTGGTTCTGGACCTGATGGTCCTGGTTTTAACCCGGTACTGAGTGGTTCTGGACCTGTTGGTCCTGGTTTGACCCGATAACAACTTGTTCTGGACCTGTTTGACCCAGTACCGACTGGTTCTGGACCTGATGGTCCTGGTTTACCCCGTAATGCCTGGTTCTGGGCTTGTTTGACCCGGTAATGACTGGTTGTGGACCTGTTGGACCTGGTTTGACCCGGTACCGACTAGTTCTGGACCTGATGGTCCTTGTTTGACCTGGTACCGACTGGTTCTGGACCAGTTGGTCGTGGTTTGACCCGGTACCGACTGGTTCTAGACCTGTTGGTCCTGGTTTGACCCCGTACTGACTAGTTCCAGATGTGTTGGTCCTGGTTTGACCCGGTACCGACTGGTTCTGGACCTGTTGGTCCTGGTTTGACCCGGTAACAACTTGTTCTGGACCTGTTTGACCCAGTACCGACTGGTTTTGGACCAGTTGGTCGTGGTTTGACCCGGTAATAACTGGTTCTGGACCTGTATATCTTGGTTTGACCTGGTACCGACTGGTTCTGGACCTGTTTGACCCAGTACCGACTGGTTCTGGACCTGATGGTCGTGGTTTGACCCTGTAATAACTGGTTCTCGACCTGTATATCCTGGTTTGACCTGGTACCGACTGGTTCTGGACCTGATGGTCCTGGTTTAACCAGGTTTTGGACCTGTTGGTCGTGGTTTGACCCGGTACCGACTGGTTCTGGACCTTTTGGTCCTGGTTTGACCCGGTACTGACTAGTTCCAGATGTGTTGGTCCTGGTTTGACCCGGTACCGACTGGTTCTGGACCTGATGGTCCTGGTTTTAACCCGGTACTGAGTGGTTCTGGACCTGTTGGTCCTGGTTTGACCCGATAACAACTTGTTCTGGACCTGTTTGACCCAGTACCGACTGGTTCTGGACCTGATGGTCCTAGTTTGACCCCGTAATGCCTGGTTCTGGGCTTGTTTGACCCAGTACCGACTGGTTTTGGACCAGTTGGTAATGGTTTGACCCGGGTAATAACTGGTTCTGGACCTGTATGTCCTGGTTTGACCTGGTACCGACTGGTTCTGGACCTGATGGTCCTGGTTTTAACCCGGTACTGAGTGGTTCTGGACCTGATGGTCCTGGTTTAACCAGGTTTTGGACCTGTTGGTCCTGGTTTGATCCGGTACTGACTGGTTCTGGATCTGTTGGTCCTGGTTTGACCTAGTACCGACTGGTTTTGGACCAGTTGGTCGTGGTTTGACCTGGTAATAACTGGTTCTGGACCTGTATGTCCTGGTTTGACCTGGTACCGACTGGTTCTGGACCTGTTTGACCCAGTACCGACTGGTTTTGGACCAGTTGGTCGTGGTTTGACCCGGTAATAACTGGTTCTGGACCTGTTGGTTCTGGTTTGACCCGGTAACAACTTGTTCTGGACCTGTTTGACCCAGTACCGACTGGTTCTGCACCTGATGGTCCTGGTTTAATCAGGTTTTGGACCTGTTGGTCGTGGTTTGACCCGGTACCGACTGGTTCTGGACCTGTTGGTCCTGGTTTGACCAGGTACTGACTAGTTCCAGATGTGTTGGTCCTGGTTTGACCCGATACCGACTGGTTTTGGACCAGTTGGTCGTGGTTTGACCCGGTAATAACTGGTTCTGGACCTGTATGTCCTGGTTTGACCCAGTACCGACTGGTTCTGGACCTGATGGTCCTGGTTTAACCAGGTTTTGGACCTGTTGGTCCTGGTTTGATCCGGTACTGACTGGTTCTGGATCTGTTGGTCTTGGTTTGATCCGGTACTGACTGGTTCTGGACCTGATGGTCCTGGTTTTAACCCGGTACTGAGTGGTTCTGGACCTGTTGGTCCTGGTTTGACCCGATAACAACTTGTTCTGGACCTGTTTGACCCAGTACCGACTGGTTCTGGACCTGATGGTCCTGGTTTACCCCGTAATGCCTGGTTCTGGGCTTGTTTGACCCGGTAATGACTGGTTCTGGACCTGTTGGACCTGGTTTGACCCGGTACCGACTAGTTCTGGACCTGATGGTCCTTGTTTGACCTGGTACCGACTGGTTCTGGACCAGTTGGTCGTGGTTTGACCCGGGGTACCGACTGGTTCTAGACCTGTTGGTCCTGGTTTGACCCCGTACTGACTAGTTCCAGATGTGTTGGTCCTGGTTTGACCCGGTACCGACTGGTTCTGGACCTGTTGGTCCTGGTTTGACCCGGGGTAACAACTTGTTCTGGACCTGTTTGACCCAGTACCGACTGGTTTTGGACCAGTTGGTCGTGGTTTGACCCGGTAATAACTGGTTCTGGACCTGTATATCCTGGTTTGACCTGGTACCGACTGGTTCTGGACCTGTTTGACCCAGTACCGACTGGTTCTGGACCTGATGGTCGTGGTTTGACCCTGTAATAACTGGTTCTCGACCTGTATATCCTGGTTTGACCTGGTACCGACTGGTTCTGGACCTGTTGGTCCTGGTTTGACCCGATAACAACTTGTTCTGGACCTGTTTGACCCAGTACCGACTGGTTCTGGACCTGATGGTCCTAGTTTGACCCCGTAATGCCTGGTTCTGGGCTTGTTTGACCCAGTACCGACTGGTTTTGGACCAGTTGGTCATGGTTTGACCCGGTAATAACTGGTTCTGGACCTGTATATCCTGGTTTGACCTGGTACCGACTGGTTCTGGACCTGTTTGACCCAGTACCGACTGGTTCTGGACCTGATGGTCGTGGTTTGACCCTGTAATAACTGGTTCTCGACCTGTATATCCTGGTTTGACCTGGTACCGACTGGTTCTGGACCTGTTGGTCCTGGTTTGACCCGATAACAACTTGTTCTGGACCTGTTTGACCCAGTACCGACTGGTTCTGGACCTGATGGTCCTAGTTTGACCCCTTAATGCCTGGTTCTGGGCTTGTTTGACCCAGTACCGACTGGTTTTGGACCAGTTGGTCATGGTTTGACCCGGTAATAACTGGTTCTGGACCTGTATGTCCTGGTTTGATCCGGTACTGACTGGTTCTGGATCTGTTGGTCCTGGTTTGACCTAGTACCGACTGGTTTTGGACCAGTTGGTCGTGGTTTGACCTGGTAATAACTGGCTCTGGACCTGTATGTCCTGGTTTGACCTGGTACCGACTGGTTCTGGACCTGTTTGACCCAGTACCGACTGGTTTTGGACCAGTTGGTCGTGGTTTGACCCGGTAATAACTGGTTCTGGACCTGTTGGTTCTGGTTTGACCCGGTAACAACTTGTTCTGGACCTGTTTGACCCAGTACCGACTGGTTCTGCACCTGATGGTCCTGGTTTAATCAGGTTTTGGACCTGTTGGTCGTGGTTTGACCCGGGTACCGACTGGTTCTGGACCTGTTGGTCCTGGTTTGACCAGGTACTGACTAGTTCCAGATGTGTTGGTCCTGGTTTGACCCGATACCGACTGGTTTTGGACCAGTTGGTCGTGGTTTGACCCGGTAATAACTGGTTCTGGACCTGTATGTCCTGGTTTGACCCAGTACCGACTGGTTCTGGACCTGATGGTCCTGGTTTAACCAGGTTTTGGACCTGTTGGTCCTGGTTTGACCCGGTAATAACTGGTTCTGGACCTGTTGGTTCTGGTTTGACCCGGTAACAACTTGTTCTGGACCTGTTTGACCCAGTACCGACTGGTTCTGCACCTGATGGTCCTGGTTTAATCAGGTTTTGGACCTGTTGGTCGTGGTTTGACCCGGGTACCGACTGGTTCTGGACCTGTTGGTCCTGGTTTGACCAGGTACTGACTAGTTCCAGATGTGTTGGTCCTGGTTTGACCCGATACCGACTGGTTTTGGACCAGTTGGTCGTGGTTTGACCCGGTAATAACTGGTTCTGGACCTGTATGTCCTGGTTTGACCCAGTACCGACTGGTTCTGGACCTGATGGTCCTGGTTTAACCAGGTTTTGGACCTGTTGGTCCTGGTTTGATCCGGTACTGACTGGTTCTGGATCTGTTGGTCTTGGTTTGATCCGGTACTGACTGGTTCTGGACCTGTTTGACCCAGTACCGACTGGTTCTGGACCTGATGGTCCTGGTTTAACCAGGTTTTGGACCTGTTGGTCCTGGTTTGATCCGGTACTGACTGGTTCTGGATCTGTTGATCCTGGTTTGATCCGGTACCGACTGGTTCTGGTCCAGAGATCGGACTTTAATGCAGAATCCTGGATGTTTCCGTGGTCTGATGGAGTCAGGTGGGTTTTGGACCTCTTTGGGTCCACTGTTGGCCTGGTTCTGTTCTGGTTCTGGGTACCGTATTGGTTCTGCTGTCTGGCTGCATCATGTTGGGTCCATAAGGTTCTACCTGAGGTTCTGATCCTCCCTGCTGGCAGCGAAGCATCTGGCCTCCATTTATCTGTTCTAATCCGGCCCGCGGGTCGACCTCGGCGGGTTCCGGGTCGGCCCCGCCCCCCTCACAGGGGCAGCAGGGTGCATTTAACGAGCGGCTCCAGTTGATCATGAGCTCTCTGATCCGACCCGATCAGAGCGGCGCTGGCAGAACCAATCACAGGGTCCGGTTAGCATCCAGGATTAGCGACTCTTTGTTTCCATTGGACCTGTCTGATCCAGTTCTGGTTCCGGGATTAAACCGGCCCCCTGAGCGATGTTTAGTCCAAAGGTTCTGGTCGGGTCGGACTCAGTCCTCCGTGTCTCCGCAGGACTACATGCAGAACGTCCACGGGAAGGAGATCGACCTGCTGCGGACCACCGTCAAGGTTCCAGGGAAGCGGCCGCCCCGCGCCGTGTCCGCCTGCGCCGCCGCACCGGGCGCCAGCACCAACGGCCTGGTGAAGGACATGAGCAGCATGCAGCTGGGACAGAACCCAGGTCAGTACCGGCCCAGAACCACAAACCGGTTCTGTTTTCATTTCTTTCTGTGGTCGGCACGGCGGCGGCTGCATGGTGAGGCACCCTGCAGCTGTTTGCTTCTGAGGTTCTGATGTAACAGAACCATCAGAACTGGGGCAGAGGACGCCTCCGCAGCTGAAGGAAGCGTCATGAACCAGCGGCGGCGTGTCCCCCCTCCCCACACGTTGCTGCTCCAGCAGGTTCTGCTAACAGCCGCCGTGCTCCGTCTCCTAATTATCCTCATGAATATTAATGCAATCAGAGGTGGGCTGCCAGCACCCAGCGGGGGGGGGGGGGAGGGGGGGGTTCTGTTCTGGTTCTGTCTATAAGTCTATAACAGGACTCCTGATCTGCAGTTCTCCGCCCCGCCTGCAGGGGGCGGCGCCTCCTCCTGTGCTGACCTCTCCTCCCCCTCCCAGGTTTGGTGTCCAGCAGCTCGTCGGCGTCCCAGATGGCCAGCGGCGTCAGCCTGGTGTCCTTCAACAGCCGCGGCGCGGAGGGCATGCACCAGCGCTCCTACTCCGTCTCCAGCGCCGACCAGTGGACCGACGCCACCGTCATCGCCAACTCCGGAGTCAGCACAGGTGGGTCCAAGTCAGGCGCCGCTCTGAGCCCCGTCACTGGCGCTTGACTTGAAGTGGCAGCTTTACGTCCCCGGGAGGCGAGCGGCAGACTGACAGCTGTCGGAGCGTGTGTCGTCATGGCGATAAGCCCCTGCGGTGGTCGTTAAGCAGCGTTTAGAGCTGTGAAGCATCAGAGCCGTTCCTGCTGGTTTGACGCTCTCTGACCAGCAGCTGGTTTTAGCTGAAACTGGACGTTAATCCAGGATCTGTTCAGATTTTCCTTTTATTCATTTCAATCTCTGCTGGTAAACGGCTCCATGATCAGAACTGGATTAGCTTGGATTATGTTTTCAATTTGACAGAGATTAAAGTTTATTTAGAAGATGTGGTATGAAAACAATAAAAGTCAGTTTAACATAAAATAAAAATAAAAATGGTGGAAACCAATCCCCTAAAACCCCAAATAATCCCCAAAAACCAAGAGTCTATTCTGTCCAATCCTGCTTCTCGTTATGTGACCTGGTCCGGATTTAAACCGCTCCTAAAGCTCAGGACTTAAAGGTTCCACTTAGTCTTAATCCACCGTGATTCATACCTCTTCTATAACCAAACTGCTGAAGATTAATCCTAATCCCAATTAAAACTATCTTTAAACTAATCTTATCAATGATTAAAAAAAAAAAACTACAGCAGATTAAATCTTATTTAAACCACACAAGATCAACCTTTATTTAGATCAACCAGACTAATTAACACCAGATTAAAAGATAAATTAGATGCTAATCAGTAGTCCAGATTATAACCTCCTTTAAAATCTGTGAAATATTAAACTAGTTTGACTAAAACCTGCATTTATTAAATGATTCCCTGATCGACTAAAATCAGCTGCTGAATAAAAACGTCTTTAATAAATAATTCTGGATTATATTTCCAGAATAAAATCCAGTTATTAAAGAAAAATCCACAGCGTTTTAATGAAGGCCCAGTCTGGTCCCAGTTCCAGAAGGGCGGGGCGCTGTGGACGGAGCTGGGTTTGCAGATGGGCGCCATTAATTGCTCACTGGGGGACGGCGTCTTGTCAGCAGAGATAAGTTGTCACATTTTCCACTTGAGCTGAGACTAAACGATTGTAAAATAAGTTATGGCCGTCCTTGGGGGCTGCCCGCCCGCACATGCGTGTGCTTCCATCCACACAGCCAGAGCCGCGGCGAGCTCGTGTCAGGCCGCCGCCGCGCCGCTGTCATATTGATGGAAGCTGAATGTTATTTCATTCTGCCGCCGGTCACAGCTGTCAGCGGCCGCCTGAAGAGTGGAGGCCACAGACTCTCCCAGCGCCTGCAGAGCGCTGAGAGCCGCGCTGCTCTGCAGACAGATTACCGTCTCTAAAGGCCTGGATGGCAGGAGCTGCATGCTGCGTCCACACAGTCCTGGTCTCAGTCCAAACACATCTGATCTGAATCACAGTGTGGCTAAGACTGGCTTCAAACCAGCAGGGACTCAATTCAGATCTAGTCTAAATCGCTTGTGGTGTAAAAAAATCAGTCCTGAACTAGTAGACTAAAACTAAACCAGCAGGTTCAAAGCCTAAAACCAGAAGGGGAGAAATTCTGATCCATCTTTCTTCAGAACCAGTTTCTGGTCCATTTGATGCAAATATGAAATTAAAAGAAAAACAGATTTTGTTCAGAAAATAAAACCATAATGTAAGCATTAAAGTCCAGGTTTGGGTCCATTAGATCTGATAGGTCCAGGTTTGGGTCCAGTCAGTCCAGGTTTGGGTCCAGTCAGTCCAGGTTTTGGGTCCATTCAGTCCAGGTTTGGGTCCAGTCAGTCCAGGTTTGGGTCCATTAGATCTGATAGGTCCAGGTTTGGGTCCAGTCAGTCCAGGTTTGGGTCCAGTCAGTCCAGGTTTGGGTCTGATAGGTCCAGGTTTGGGTCCAGTCAGTCCAGGTTTGGGTCCAATAGGTCCAGGTTTGGGTCTGATAGGTCCAGGTTTGGGTCCAGTCAGTCCAGGTTTGGGTCTGATAGGTCCAGGTTTGGGTCTGATAGGTCCAGGTTTGGGTCCAGTCAGTCCAGGTTTGGGTCTGATAGGTCCAGGTTTGGGTCCAATTAGTCCAGGTTTGGGTCTGATAGGTCCAGGTTTGGGTCCAATAGGTCCAGGTTAGGGTCCAGTCAGTCCAGGTTTGGGTCCAATAGGTCCAGGTTAGGGTCCAGTAGCTCCAGGTTAGGGTCCAGTCAGTCCAGGTTTGGGTCCAATAGGTCCAGGTTTGGGTCTGATCGGTCCAGGTTTGGGTCTGATAGGTCCAGGTTTGGGTCCAGTCAGTCCAGGTTTGGGTCCAGTCAGTCCAGGTTTGGGTCTGATAGGTCCAGGTTTGGGTCTGATAGGTCCAGGTTTGGGTCCAGTCAGTCCAGGTTTGGGTCTGATAGGTCCAGGTTTGGGTCCAATTAGTCCAGGTTAGGGTCCAGTCAGTCCAGGTTTGGGTCTGATAGGTCCAGGTTTGGGTCCAGTCAGTCCAGGTTTGGGTCTGATAGGTCCAGGTTTGGGTCCAATAGGTCCAGGTTAGGGTCCAGTCAGTCCAGGTTTGGGTCCAATAGGTCCAGGTTAGGGTCCAGTCAGTCCAGGTTTGGGTCCAATAGGTCCAGGTTAGGGTCCAGTAGGTCCAGGTTAGGGTCCAGTCAGTCCAGGTTTGGGTCCAATAGGTCCAGGTTTGGGTCTGATCGGTCCAGGTTTGGGTCTGATAGGTCCAGGTTTGGGTCCAGTCAGTCCAGGTTTGGGTCCAATTAGTCCAGGTTTGGGTCCAATTAGTCCAGGTTTGGGTCTGATAGGTCCAGGTTTGGGTCCAATAGGTCCAGGTTAGGGTCCAGTCAGTCCAGGTTTGGGTCCAATAGGTCCAGGTTAGGGTCCAGGTTTGGGTCCAATAGGTCCAGGTTTGGGTCCAATAGGTCCAGGTTTGGGTCCAATAGGTCCAGGTTAGGGTCCAGTCAGTCCAGGTTTGGGTCCAATAGGTCCAGGTTAGGGTCCAGTCAGTCCAGGTTTGGGTCCAATAGGTCCAGGTTTGGGTCCAATAGGTCCAGGTTAGGGTCCAGTCAGTACAGGTTTGGGTCCAATAGGTCCAGGTTAGGGTCCAGTCAGTCCAGGTTTGGGTCCAATAGGTCCAGGTTTGGGTCCAATAGGTCCAGGTTAGGGTCCAGGTTTGGGTCCAATAGGTCCAGGTTTGGGTCCAATAGGTCCAGGTTTGGGTCCAATAGGTCCAGGTTAGGGTCCAGTCAGTCCAGGTTTGGGTCCAGTCAGTCCAGGTTTTGGGTCCATTCAGTCCAGGTTTGGGTCCAGTCAGTCCAGGTTTGGGTCCATTAGATCTGATAGGTCCAGGTTTGGGTCCAGTCAGTCCAGGTTTGGGTCCAGTCAGTCCAGGTTTGGGTCCAGTCAGTCCAGGTTTGGGTCCAGTCAGTCCAGGTTTGGGTCTGATAGGTCCAGGTTTGGGTCCAATAGGTCCAGGTTTGGGTCCAATAGGTCCAGGTTAGGGTCCAGTCAGTCCAGGTTTGGGTCCAGTCAGTCCAGGTTTGGGTCCAGTCAGTCCAGGTTTTGGGTCCATTCAGTCCAGGTTTGGGTCCAGTCAGTCCAGGTTTGGGTCCATTAGATCTGATAGGTCCAGGTTTGGGTCCAGTCAGTCCAGGTTTGGGTCCAGTCAGTCCAGGTTTGGGTCCAGTCAGTCCAGGTTTGGGTCCAGTCAGTCCAGGTTTGGGTCTGATAGGTCCAGGTTTGGGTCCAGTCAGTCCAGGTTTGGGTCCAATAGGTCCAGGTTTGGGTCTGATAGGTCCAGGTTTGGGTCCAGTCAGTCCAGGTTTGGGTCTGATAGGTCCAGGTTTGGGTCTGATAGGTCCAGGTTTGGGTCCAGTCAGTCCAGGTTTGGGTCTGATAGGTCCAGGTTTGGGTCCAATTAGTCCAGGTTTGGGTCTGATAGGTCCAGGTTTGGGTCCAATAGGTCCAGGTTAGGGTCCAGTCAGTCCAGGTTTGGGTCCAATAGGTCCAGGTTAGGGTCCAGTAGGTCCAGGTTAGGGTCCAGTCAGTCCAGGTTTGGGTCCAATAGGTCCAGGTTTGGGTCTGATCGGTCCAGGTTTGGGTCTGATAGGTCCAGGTTTGGGTCCAGTCAGTCCAGGTTTGGGTCTGATAGGTCCAGGTTTGGGTCTGATAGGTCCAGGTTTGGGTCCAGTCAGTCCAGGTTTGGGTCTGATAGGTCCAGGTTTGGGTCCAATTAGTCCAGGTTTGGGTCTGATAGGTCCAGGTTTGGGTCCAATAGGTCTAGGTTAGGGTCCAGTCAGTCCAGGTTTGGGTCCAATAGGTCCAGGTTAGGGTCCAGTAGGTCCAGGTTAGGGTCCAGTCAGTCCAGGTTTGGGTCCAATAGGTCCAGGTTTGGGTCTGATCGGTCCAGGTTTGGGTCTGATAGGTCCAGGTTTGGGTCCAGTCAGTCCAGGTTTGGGTCCAATTAGTCCAGGTTTGGGTCTGATAGGTCCAGGTTTGGGTCCAATAGGTCCAGGTTAGGGTCCAGTCAGTCCAGGTTTGGGTCCAATAGGTCCAGGTTAGGGTCCAGGTTTGGGTCCAATAGGTCCAGGTTTGGGTCCAATAGGTCCAGGTTAGGGTCCAGTCAGTCCAGGTTTGGGTCCAATAGGTCCAGGTTAGGGTCCAGTCAGTCCAGGTTTGGGTCCAATAGGTCCAGGTTTGGGTCCAATAGGTCCAGGTTAGGGTCCAGTCAGTCCAGGTTTGGGTCCAATAGGTCCAGGTTAGGGTCCAGTCAGTCCAGGTTTGGGTCCAATAGGTCCAGGTTTGGGTCCAATAGGTCCAGGTTAGGGTCCAGGTTTGGGTCCAATAGGTCCAGGTTTGGGTCCAATAGGTCCAGGTTTGGGTCCAATAGGTCCAGGTTAGGGTCCAGTCAGTCCAGGTTTGGGTCCAGTCAGTCCAGGTTTTGGGTCCATTCAGTCCAGGTTTGGGTCCAGTCAGTCCAGGTTTGGGTCCATTAGATCTGATAGGTCCAGGTTTGGGTCCAGTCAGTCCAGGTTTGGGTCCAGTCAGTCCAGGTTTGGGTCCAGTCAGTCCAGGTTTGGGTCCAATAGGTCCAGGTTAGGGTCCAGTCAGTCCAGGTTTGGGTCCAATAGGTCCAGGTTTTGGGTCCATTCAGTCCAGGTTTGGGTCCATTAGATCTGATAGGTCCAGGTTTGGGTCCAGTCAGTCCAGGTTTGGGTCCAGTCAGTCCAGGTTTGGGTCCAATCGGTCCGGGTTTGGGTCCAGTCAGTCCAGGTTTGGGTCCAGTCAGTCCAGGTTTGGGTCCAGTCAGTCCAGGTTTGGGTCTGATAGGTCCAGGTTTGGGTCCAGTCAGTCCAGGTTTGGGTTCAGTCAGTCCAGGTTTGGGTCCAGTCAGTCCAGGTTTGGGTCTGATAGGTCCAGGTTTGGGTCCAATAGGTCCAGGTTTGGGTCCAGTCAGTCCAGGTTTGGGTCCAATAGGTCCAGGTTAGGGTCCAGTCAGTCCAGGTTTGGGTCCAATAGGTCCAGGTTTTGGGTCCATTCAGTCCAGGTTTGGGTCCAGTCAGTCCAGGTTTGGGTCCAGTCAGTCCAGGTTTGGGTCCAATCGGTCCGGGTTTGGGTCCAGTCAGTCCAGGTTTGGGTCCAGTCAGTCCAGGTTTGGGTCCAGTCAGTCCAGGTTTGGGTCTGATAGGTCCAGGTTTGGGTCCAATAGGTCCAGGTTTGGGTCCAATAGGTCCAGGTTAGGGTCCAGTCAGTCCAGGTTTGGGTCCAGTCAGTCCAGGTTAAGGACTGATTAGAACCAGTTTGGTTCTAATGGTTCTACTTCTGGACCGGTCCAGTTAACTGGTTTTACTGGTTGACCCAGAGGTTTTCCTCCCCCCCGATGAACTTGACGAGTTAATTAGTTGCTTTCTCCAGTTTTGGCCTCAGCCTGACTGGTTTCTTCTGGCCGATCTTTAACTTGCAGACACTGGTTTGGGCGACTCGGTCTGCTCCAGCCCCAGTATGTCCAGCACCACCAGTCCAAAGACGGAGCCGCCTCCATCGCCGCACGCCAACCGCAAGAAGCACCGGCGGAAGAAGAGCACCAGTAACTTCAAAGTGGAAGGCCTCTCTGGTACTGCTGAAGGTAACTCCATCCCACCCCCCCTCACACTTTCCTCACCTGGGTCTGACCCCCCCACCAAGTACCCAGAATCCTCTCTGATTCTTTCTAAGAAAGTCTCACATTAGAATCCTTAGAATCTAAGACCCTGGTTTGGAAACTTGATCATGTGATCATCTGAGATTCTGGAACTCCAGAGGGAGGGAAGGATCTCACCATCCCGTCATTCCTCCTCCCTTCATCCGTTCCTCCATCTTTGTTTGTTTCTTCCTTTCATGGATCATTGAGAGCAAATCTTTCCATCATCAGAGAAAGTGGAGCGTCTCTGTCTGCCGGACCAGTTAGAGGGTTAAAGTCTGACTAACTTCAGATTGTTTAATGGATCTAAGATCAGTTCTCCTGAACTGTTAAAGATTTTACTTTGGTAAACTTCACAACTAATTTAGATAAAATATTACATCAAGGTCGGAAGAGAGGTCTGAATCTAAACCAACACCGGTTTAAGGTATTGTTTTAAAACCAAGACCAAGCAAGATGGAGATGGAGATTAAACCCCGAACCAAAACCAGTTCACAGCCAAGGCTACTGATTAGTTAGACACCAGATCCAAATAAAGAAATCTAAAGCACAACCAGTTCACACCAAAAATATCCCAAAGCAAAAAATCTTATATAAACCTAAACCCGTTTAAACTCTAAACCTAAACCGGTTTAAAATCCAAATCTAAACTGATATAAATTTTTAACCTAAACCAGTTTAGACTCTAAACATAAACCAGTTTAAACTCCACACCTAAACCATTTTAAACCCTTAACCTAAACCAATTTAAACTCTAAACATAAACCAGATTAAAATCCAAATCTAAACTGGTTTAAATTCTTAACCTAAACTGGTTTAAACCTAAACAGGTGTAAACTCTAAACCTAAACCGGTTTAAAATCCAAATCTAAACCGGTTTAAACTCTAAACATAAACCAGTTTAAACTCCACACCTAAACCGATTTAAACCCTTAACCTAAACCGGTTTAAACTAAATATAGACCAGTTTAAACTCCAAGCCTAAACTGGTTTAAATTCTTAACCTAAACCAGTTTAAACTCCAAACCTAAACCGGTTTAAACTCTATACCTAAACCATTTTTAAAATCCAAATCTAAACTGGGTTAAACCCTTAACCTAAACTGGTTTAAACTCTAAACATAAACCGGTTTAAATTCAAAATCTAAACCGGTTTAAACTCTAAACAAGTTTAAACTCGAAACCTTAACTGGTTTAAAATCTAACCCTAAACCAATTTAAACTCTAAATCTAAACCAGTTTAAACTCTAAATCTACACCAGTTTATACTCTAAACCGGTTTAAACTCTAAACCTAAACTGGTTTAACTTTGGTTAGAAATGAGTTTCAAACTCATATAGTTTCAAGTCAGTATGAAGTTCAGTTTTAAACTAAAACCAGTTTTAAAAAAGACAAAGAATTATAAAACTGCTAAAACCAATGCATTTTAATCATTAAATCACTTCTGAAACTGTTTAAACTAGTTTAAAGAACTCAAGTAGAGAAAATATAAAGTCCTAAAACAGTTTAGGACCAGGATCATCAAATGTTCAGTAATAATTTATATATCATATCTAGCAGTAATCTGATATTGATCCTGAGTTGATTTAAGCAGGACTCCATTTTGTTTACCTCCTTTAGCGCTGAATGCTATTTATGTTTATTGCAGAATGAGTCCAGTTAGGAAACATTTTTAATGAAATATAAAATCCATTTAGGCTTCTAGATTATTGGAACAGAAATGGAATCATCCAAACCAACCAATCACTGACTGCAGACGTTACCGCTGACTGACTGCCAACCAGGACGGCACAATAAAGCACCGTACAGCCATCCTGATTGGCTGATCCCAGACCAGCCCCGCCCACCTAGAATCACTCATCAGTCGCTTATTATTCTTTTATTTAGTGGGGGCGATGGAGGCAGTTTTATGTTCTGGCACACTGTGTGGATGGCTGAACAGATGTGGCGGCCGCAGCAGATGTGTAATGTTCGTCTCTCCATCACCACGGCAACCAGCGGCTGACATGACGAGCGGCTGCCCGGGTGACGGATGGAGGCTGCATCTGTCCTCATCGTTCCTCCATCCTCAGCTTTCTCTCTTTACTCCGTCTTTATTCCTTTAATCCCCAGCCTCCATCACTCCTCCGCCAGCGTTTCACCCTCACCTCCTCCAACCGCCACCCGTCATCAGGAGACTCGCCCCCCTATTAGTCAGCCAGAGAGGTTTAAGTGAAATATTATAAATAATCCAGCGTATTGAAATCTTTTATCAGCTGTGTCACTTTCATTATTCAATAAGCGATTAGTAACAGTCTTCCCAATTTAGCCATTAAGCACTGAGTCGCTGGCCGGCCTGCAGCCTGTCACGCCAGGGCGGGCGGGTGAAGTATCTTCATGTCAGAGCGGAGCTCGCTGTAATTTACGACGGGGGACCGCCCCCTGCGGCCCAGCTCGCCCTGATAGGACCACACACACAGTCACTATCACAGGTGAGTTCACCTGCTTGATTCAGAGCTGGCTGATCACATTCAGGTCTGTTTCATTTTACCGTCTTATAATGCTAACTCATTAGTATTGGTTTCATTTAAGGTAAAATCCAGGACAGAACGACCTTTTGGTTGCACCTCTGAAAAAACACCAAACAAAAAAAGACAATAAGATCATAGAGATCATGAGAACAAAGCGCTCAAAATAAAAGATTCTGTTTTCAGCTCCTTTCTGGGATCTAAACTAAAACTCTGCTTCTCTCCATCTGCTTCAGATATCTTATTTCTCACTTTTAGCTCTCTGAAGCCAAGACTTTTATTAGACCAAGACTATTTTCAGCATTAGAGCCAAAAGAAGTGTTAACCCAATACCAAAGCTGGTTATAAATCAAAGCCATGCCTGGACAGAAACAGAGGAAAAAACTAGACATAAACCGAGGCTAAAACTAGACATAAACCGAGGCTAAAACTAGACAGACACTGAGGATAATACTAGACATAAACATAGACAAAATCTGCACAGAAACTGAAAAAAAAAACTAGATATAAACTGAGGATAAAACTTGACGGAAACAGAGATTCAAACTAGACAGAAACTGGGGCTAAAACTAGACATAAACCAAGGCTAAAACTAGACATAAACCGAGACACAAACCAAGACTAAAACTAGACAGAAATGAGACAAAAACTGAGGCTGATACTTAAAATAAACAGAGACCGAAACTAGACATAAACCGAGGATAAAACTACACATAAACTCAGACTAAAACTAGACATACACTGAGACTAAAACTAGACATAAACTGAGACTAAAACTAGACATAAACCGAGGATAAAACTACACATAAACTAAGACTAAAACTAGACATACATTGAGACTAAAACTAGACATAAACTGAGACTAAAACTACACATAAACCGAGGATAAAACTACACATAAACTGAGACTAAAACTAGACATAAACCGAGGATAAAACTACACATAAACTGAGACTAAAACTAGACATACACTGAGACTAAAACTAGACATAAACTGAGACTAAAACTAGACATAAACCGAGGATAAAACTACACATAAACTGAGACTAAAACTAGACATAAACTGAGGATAAAACTACACATAAACTGAGACTAAAACTAGACATACATTGAGACTAAAACTAGACATAAACCGAGGATAAAACTACACATAAACTGAGACTAAAACTAGACATAAACCGAGGATAAAACTACACATAAACTGAGACTAAAACTAGGCATAAACCGAGGATAAAACTACACATAAACTGAGACTAAAACTAGACATACACTGAGACTAAAACTAGACATAAATCAAGACTCCTATTTCTGAATCAAAGCCAGATTCAGTTTAAGATTTGCACTTCTTTCTTAACTGGAGCTTTAAGCTTCCGTGTGGTTCGGTTTAGGCCGATCACCAACCTGTGGTCTAACATTCCTGATCTCAGCTCTTTTCAAAGCTGACCTCTGTCCCGGCCTCCTAAAGGTTCCTAGAAAACCTTCTTTGACTCTTCAGCCAGAGATGAGCAGAGTCTGTGATCCCAGACAAAAGCTCTTGGTCTGTGTTTCCACCTGACAGGTTGCTCCTTCAGCTGCCCTGTGCACCTGCAGCATTAGGAATTCCTTTAATGCCGGCTTAATCAGCTGGAAAGTCGGAGCTTCATTACGAGTTTAGTCAGGTGGGGAACAAAGAACAGAGCAGGAAGGAGCAGCTGCTCCATCTGGGCTTTAAACCTGACAGAGTTCCCTCTCAGCTAAAAAAGCCCAGACTATGTCCCGGTAAATCTCAGCTTCCACACCGGGAAGCTGCAGAGACTCCCCGCTCTGCGTCGGAGTCAGAACCGGAGATAAATCTGCCGCCTCTAGATCTACACCCACTCCACAAACTTCCGAACAATCGGCTGCGATATTTTCCAGGTTATTAATGTTGTAAAATGCTGCGAATAATATGGGAAGTAATGACCTGTGTCGCAAAGCAATAGTGAGCGCGCTGACATTTAAGGCTTTTAATTTGTGTTTCCTGAGGCCCCCCCGTCTGCCCGCCTCCCCTCTCATGGCGCCTCGGCTCACGGCCGGCCGGAGCCGCCGCCGCTCTGCGTGACGGGGCCCCGTCTGCATGTCCTGCTGCAAACGCTGGATGTTTGGTTTGTGTTGCTAAAGGTTGCCGGTGTCGGAGTTCACAAATTGCCTCGCCGCCCCCCCCTCCTGAGCGAATGTCACCCACAGTAGCCCAGAGCGTTGGCAGTAATTACCAGGACCGGATGGGTGTGTGGGGGGGGGTTTCACGCGTGCATACGTTTAGTCGGCGCCACTGACGCCTTTAAACTGGGACGTAAATATTTGGTTTTCTGCAGGGAAAGTGAGCAGCGCATCAAAATAAGGTGGATTTCTGGCCTAAAATTATCCTCTTCACTTCCTGTTTGGAGAAAAGACGCAGAAATGGAGGAAATTTAGATTTTATGTCAGAAAAAAACGACTCATTTCAATTATTATTTATTTTATTGTGATTTACATGTGAGGGAAATGTGTTGACGGGTAGAGTTTTATCCCCTGATTGTTGTTTTTCACCAGTACCAAACAGATTGATGCTAAATTTAGTTTAGATCTGAGACCAAATCTAGATACCCTAAGCCTAATCCTAACCACTACCTCAGTACTGGTTTCAAACCATCAGTCAGAAATAAAACGGAAACCTTTAATCCAATGCCAGTTGGACACCGAGGCCAAACCAGTTTGACACCAAAACCAAGTTCAGACTGAAGACGAACGTAAAAGAAAGACTCAAACTAGTTTCAATTATTGCTTAGTTCTAGTTTCAATCAAGGCAGAGCAGTTTTAAAGCAACGATACAACCAGTTTATAACAGGAGGTTTTAATTCAAGTAAGAACTAGATTTAAAGTTAAAATCAGTTTCAAACTAGAACCAATCAGTACTGGACCAGATGGAGACTAAAAACAGCCATAAATCTAAGCCTAACCGGCAAAATTCACGTTTTAGATTAAAATAAGACCCAAACCAGTTTTAGATTAGAATTAAAAAGGATCCTTTTCTCAACTAGAACCAGTTTGAAGTGTATTAAATAGTTTTTGCCCTTTGATCTAGTTTAAAGTCTGTTTTTTGTAGAAAACTAAAGAGATAAACATAAATGTGAGGTGTTGCGTACTGACTGTAGGTATGCTGGTCTGACAGAACGCCGTTCTGCTGAGTAGAGCTCCTGGACCTCGGGTGCGTTGGAATGGCGGCGCCGCGTCAGACGTTCTGCTGCGGAGTCAGACCACAGGCTTCAGTTATTTGATTGACCTTTAATGTTAAAAACTGACGAGTGCGGCTTTAAATGTCACGCCGTTTCCCGGCTTCCTATACACCGCCGCTCCGAGAAGGGGGGGGAGGCGCCACGGCAGGCGGGGTTCAAATCAGAAACCGCATGTAACCTGCCCCCCCCCCCCCCCCCCCCCCCCTGGAAGCAGAGAATGTAATTATGATGAGACCTGTAGGGCTCCATGGCTGCGCTGTCATTCAGAATGAGATGTTCCTGGAAGAGCTTCTGAGGAGGAGCTGTGCTGCTCAGGAGCATCAGAGGATCTGATTCTTCTCCCTGAACATGTTTAGATGTTTATAGTGATTCTAGAACATCAGGTTTTCCTCTTCCTGGACCAGGCTGAGGTTCTGGAGCTGCTGCTAAAACCTGAGAACGTTCTCTGACCTTCTAATCTTCTTCTTCGTTGGTTATCCAGACCAGAGCTGGTGCGGAACTTCAGCTCCAAATGATCGGAGCTGAGGAGGCTCATTAGACCCTTCATCTTCTCAGCCGCCATCATGAAGAGCAGAACGTGGTGTTTACACCTCCACAGATCCCTGAAAGGTTGGAAGGAGATCCTTCATGATCTGATGGAGATCCTCCATGACCTGATGGAGATCCTTCATTATCCGATGGAGATCCTTCGTGATCTGATGGAGATCCTTTGTTATCCGATGGAGATCCTTCGTGATCTGATGGAGATCCTTTGTTATCTGATGGAGATCCTTCATTATCCGATGGAGATCCTTCGTGATCTAATGGAGATCCTTTGTTATCCGATGGAGATCCTTCGTGATCTGATGGAGATCCTTCGTGATCTGATGGAGATCCTTCATTATCCGATGGAGATCCTTCGTGATCTGATGGAGATCCTTTGTTATCCGATGGAGATCCTTCGTGATCTGATGGAGATCCTTTGTTATCTGATGGAGATCCTTCGTTATCCGATGGAGATCCTTCATGATCTGATGGAGATCCTTCGTGATCTGATGGAGATCCTTCATGATCTGATGGAGATCCTTCATGATCTGATGGAGATCCTTCATGATCTGATGGAGATCCTTCGTGATCTGATGGAGATCCTTCGTGATCTGATGGAGATCCTTCGTGATCTGATGGAGATCCTTCGTGATCTGATGGAGATCCTTCGTGATCTGATGGAGATCCTTCGTGATCTGATGGAGATCCTTCGTGATCTGATGGAGATCCTTCGTGATCTGATGGAGATCCTTCGTGATCTGATGGAGATCCTTCATGATCTGATGGAGATCCTTCGTTATCCGATGGAGATCCTTCGTGATCTGATGGAGATCCTTCATGATCTGATGGAGATCCTTCATGATCTGATGGAGATCCTTCGTGATCTGATGGAGATCCTTCGTGATCTGATGGAGATCCTTCGTGATCTGATGGAGATCCTTCGTGATCTGATGGAGATCCTTCGTGATCTGATGGAGATCCTTCGTGATCTGATGGAGATCCTTCATGACCTGATGGAGATCCTTCGTTATCCGATGGAGATCATTTGTGATCTAAAGGAGATCCTTTGTTATCTGATGGAGATCCTTCGTGATCTGATGGAGATCCTTTGTTATCCGATGGAGATCCTTTGTGATCTGATGGAGATCCTTCATGATCCGATGGAGATCCTTCATGATCTGATGGAGATCCATCATGATCTGATGGAGATCCTTCATGATCTAATGGAGATCCTTCGTGATCTGATGGAGATCCTTCATGATCTGATGGAGATCCTTCATGATCTGATGGAGATCCTTCGTGATCTGATGGAGATCCTGTGTTATCCGATGGAGATCCTTCGTGATCTGATGGACGTCCTTCGTGATCTGATGGAGATCCTTCATGATCTGATGGAGATCCTTCATGATCTGATGGAGATCCTTCATGATCTGATGGAGATCCTTCGTGATCCGATGGAGATCCTTCGTGATCCGATGGAGATCCTTCGTGATCCGATGGAGATCCTTCATGATCTGATGGAGATCCTTCGTTATCCGATGGCGATCCTTCATGATCCGATGGAGATCCTTCGTGATCCGATGGAGATCCTTCATGATCCGATGGAGATCCTTCATGATCCGATGGAGATCCTTCATGATCTGATGGAGATCCTTCGTTATCCGATGGAGATCCTTCGTGATCCGATGGAGATCCTTCATGATCCGATGGAGATCCTTCATGATCCGATGGAGATCCTTCATGATCTGATGGAGATCCTTCATGATCTGATGGAGATCCTTCGTTATCCGATGGAGATCCTTCGTGATCCGATGGAGAACCTTCGTGATCCGATGGAGATCCTTCGTGATCCGATGGAGATCCTTCATGATCTGATGGAGATCCTTCGTTATCCGATGGCGATCCTTCGTGATCCGATGGAGATCCTTCGTGATCCGATGGAGATCCTTCATGATCCGATGGAGATCCTTCGTTATCTGATTCAGGTTCTTGAAGCAGATCCTCATCAGTCTGAGGTCACATGGTCTCTGTTTGCTTATGTCCACCTGCAGACCTTCCAGAGGTTCTGAATCTTAGTGAAACCTGGTTCTTCACACACAGAACATCTACAGCAGGAATGTTGGACCTTCTGGTCCTCGTCGATCAGCTGGTCTCTGTTCTGCGGTTTGATGGCGGTGATGTGTTCATCAGTTCCTTCAGGTCTGAGTGTTCCTGATCCTGAAGAACCTCAGACCTTAGGAGAACCTTACCCCACCCTTTCAGAATAAAAGCACGGTGAAGCATTGACTGACTCTGGGTGTTTCCTTCTCCACCAGAACAAGAGGAGAACTTTGAGTTCACCATCGTGTCGCTGACGGGTCAGACGTGGAACTTCGAGGCCACGTCGTACGAAGAGCGGGACGCCTGGGTTCAGGTCATCGAGAGCCAGATCCTGGCCAGCCTGCAGTCCTGCGAGAGCAGCAAGAACAAGGTGATCACACCTCCCCCCTCAGATCTTCCGTTTTCTGCTCCCGTAATTACAGAATACCAATTACCGGCGCCGCCTGCCGCCGCTCTGCATCGCAGGCGACCCGCTGTGTTTACGCCTCAGGCATCACCCGCCCAACCAAAACCGTTTCATTTGTTCGCCGTGTTCCTCCTTCTCATGGCGGCGATGGGAGCAAATGTGATCCTGAAGGATAGGCGGGGGGGATGTCTGAGGGGCTCCTGGCAGGAAGTGATGTTTTATTGTCCAGCTAGTGAAGCGCGGCGCCAGCGTCGAACAGACCTGAACAGCATCTCTAGATGTTCAACCTGTTTTCCATGTCTTCCAGTCCCGCCTCACCAGCCAATCAGAGGCTTTGGCTCTCCAGTCCATCAGGAGTATCCGTGGCAACGGCCGCTGTGCGGACTGCGACGTACAGAGTGAGTGGAAAGATGGCGCCAAACTGAACTTTGAAATAATTATTCCTTTTTTTAAATTATTATTATTATTATTAGCTTGTATAGGAAAGTAGTTGCCAACAATTTATGTATTTTTAGCTTTTAAAATAATATTAAAACGCAAAATTTAAAGCTAATTAAAAGAAAAATGCTTCTAAAATATGGAATAAAAACAGCCTCAATAAAATCTGCTAAAAATTCAGCTCTAAAAATAAACTGCAAATTTTGACCTTTTTGGTGAACTCAAGCTGAAGCAATCTACACTTTATGCCATTTTTTTGCAGCTAAATTTTCACCAGATAAAAATTCAGTTTACGGAATTTTATGTGTAAAAAATTTCGTTTAAAATTCGCTGTAGAAAAAAAGCTGATTTATTTGAGATGGTTTTACTTCCGTACTAAAAACACATGTCTTATTCTTTGAATGTAATTCTTTTCCTCCTTATAAAAACCACTAAAGCGTTTCAGAATAATCAGTTATTTAGCTCTTTATATTAATTTTAGCCCCCATTAAGGGCCGCTGCAGAGGCCCCAAAGAGCCGCCGGTTTCAGACCCTGAACCATCAGAGATTAATCAGAACCTTTTGGTTCTGGAAGGTTCTGATCTTCTGGGCTCCTCCTCTGTCCCACAGACCCGGACTGGGCCAGCCTCAACCTCGGCGCTCTGATCTGCATCGAGTGCTCCGGCATCCATCGGAACCTGGGGACCCACCTGTCCAGGGTCCGCTCCCTGGACCTGGACGAGTGGCCGCTGGAGCTCATCAAGGTGATGTCGGCCATCGGCAACGAGCTGGCCAACGGCGTGTGGGAGGCCAACGCCCAGGGACGCCTCAAACCCGGGCCTGACGCCAGCAGGTAGGACGGCTCCTCTCAGACCCAACAGAACCAGAACTCATTCATGTCGGATCCACAGAATAATTCATCTGGGTCCCTGGATTAACTAATCCAGGGGATTATTTCCTGTCCAACCTTGGTGGTTCTGACCCGTTATTGGTTCTGCTTTGTTATTCTGCTCTGCTTGCGGTGCAGTGCCTCCCTCAGCAGACAGGGGGCGGCGGGTCGGCGCCTCAGGTGTCAAACATCAACAGAGCTGCTCTCTGCAGGGTAACAAAACGGTGAAGTATGGCTCTACGCCGCCGCCGCCGTGCTCCTGTGATTATGCGTCTCTGGGAGCCCATCATAACAAATTAGAGCCGACCGCCGTTCACATAAAGATCGACTTCCCCGTCCCCCCGCCCTACCCTCATTAGTCAACAGAAGCACCTTGTAATTACTCCTGCGAGCGCTCGACACAAACACTTTAACCCTGCGTGTGCTGGAACACCACTTCCTGTTCCCGGCTGGCTCCGCCCCCCTCTCAGCAGCTGAAGCTGCTGCTGTTGTTATTTATTTATGAATCTGAAGCCCTGAAGAGATTAGAGCAGGAGGTCAATATTATCTCAATTAAGCGGCGACGCTCCGCTGCAGCTCCCTCTCCCCCCTGCGCCTCCTCTCTCCTGTCGATAGTATTTATCAGTCCATTCCTTAAGTGGCTCGCTGTTTGTCCTCTTTCCCCTCCATAAATCCTGCCTTCCTCACCCTCCCTCTCATCCTTCCATCGTTTCTCCACCTCAGCCGGGTCGCTGCCGAGGCGCCGCGCTCATCACAACGCAGCACAAATACTGATGAGGACATTTTCCTCTAACTTAGTAATATTGTTTGGTTATAAACTGGAGAAACTAAAAGCCTTCCTTTGAGTGTGCAGTTCTCCTCCGTCACCAATAGAGGGCCCTCTAGGTGTCACTCAGCAGCAGCTAACGTTCCACAGTCATTAGCAGGATGGCTTTAAAATCCAAATGGAACGAAAAGATCGCTTCGTTTAGCCTCATCTGGGTCGATAGCGACACGTTCGTACATCTTACTGATAATGGAGTCAAATAATATAAACATTTGTAATCAAAAAATCTTTTAAATTGATGAATTTAGGCTTGGATTTCATTACTAGCTCATTAGAAACATTTGTAGATTAAATCTGTCTGGCTAACTATAGGCCTCGGCTGGTTTGACCCATTCTGACCCAAACTGGGAAACCTTGGTGGGCTAGTAGCTACTAGCTAGTTGGGCTAGTAGCTACTAGCTAACTCCCAGTTTGGACACCAGCCTCCAACATCCATCCTGTGGGATGGCTAAGAATCAGATGTTTCTTCAGTCTGACTCAGTTTATTATTTAGAGTTAGATCAAGGAGGCCAGAGTTGATGGATCTTATTAATCAGGTTAGCCCTGGCTGCTACAGATGGGCTAACATTAGCACTGGCTGCTACAGACAGGCTAATGTTAGCACTGGCTGCTGAAGAAGTTAGCCCTGGCTGCTACAGATGGGCTAACGTTAGCTCTGGCTGCTACAGATGGGCTAACGTTAGCTCTGGCTGCTACAGATGGGCTAACATTAGCACTGGCTGCTACAGACAGGCTAATGTTAGCACTGGCTGCTGAAGAAGTTAGCCCTAGCTGCTACAGATGGGCTAACGTTAGCTCTGGCTGCTACAGATGGACTAACGTTAGCACTGGCTGCTACAGACAGGCTAATGTTAGCACTGGCTGCTGAAGAAGTTAGCCCTGGCTGCTACAGATGGGCTAACGTTAGCTCTGGCTGCTACAGATGGGCTAACGTTAGATCTGGCTGCTGCAGATGGGCTAACGTTAGCTCTGGCTGCTTCAGATGGGCTAACATTAGCACTGGCTGCTGCAGACGGCTAAGGTTAGCTCTGGCTGCTGCAGAAGTTAGCCCTGGCTGCTACAGATGGGCTAACATTAGCTCTGGCTGCTACAGATGGGCTAACATTAGCACTGGCTGCTACAGATGGGCTAACATTAGCACTGGCTGCTACAGATGGGCTAACGTTAGCTCTGGCTGCTGCAGAAGTTAGCCCTGGCTGCTACAGATGGGCTAACATTAGCTCTGGCTGCTACAGATGGGCTAACATTAGCACTGGCTGCTACAGATGGGCTAACGTTAGCTCTGGCTGCTACAGATGGGCTAACGTTAGCTCTGGCTGCTACAGATGGGCTAACGTTAGCTCTGGCTGCTGCAGAAGTTAGCCCTGGCTGCTACAGATGGGCTAACATTAGCTCTGGCTGCTACAGATGGGCTAACATTAGCACTGGCTGCTACAGATGGGCTAACATTAGCACTGGCTGCTACAGATGGGCTAACGTTAGCTCTGGCTGCTACAGATGGGCTAACGTTAGCTCTGGCTGCTATAGATGGGCTAACGTTAGCCCGTCTTATATATTCGGTCCTATATGGAACTTCCTCTGCAAACACCAGAGAGGCTCAGTTGAAGCGTGAACCGTGGTGCCCTCTGCTGGACGGTGGTGACATCACAGCAATGATAGAAACTGGCTGCTACAGACAGGCTAATGTTAGCACTGGCTGCTGAAGAAGTTAGCCCTGGCTGCTACAGATGGGCTAACGTTAGCTCTGGCTGCTACAGATGGGCTAACGTTAGCTCTGGCTACTACAGATGGGCTAACGTTAGCTCTGGCTGCTACAGATGGGCTAACGTTAGCTCTGGCTACTACAGATGGGCTAACGTTAGATCTGGCTGCTGCAGATGGGCTAACGTTAGCTCTGGCTGCTGCAGATGGGCTAAGGTTAGCCCTCGCTGCTACAGAAGGGCTAACGTTAGCTCTGGCTGCTTCAGATGGGCTAACATTAGCACTGGCTGCTACAGATGGGCTAACGTTAGCTCTGGCTGCTGCAGATGGGCTAAGGTTAGCCCTCGCTGCTACAGAAGGGCTAACGTTAGCTCTGGCTGCTTCAGATGGGCTAACATTAGCACTGGCTGCTACAGATGGGCTAATGTTAGATCTAGCTGCTGCAGATGGGCTAAGGTTAGCCCTCGCTGCTACAGATGGGCTAACGTTAGCACTGGCTGCTACAGATGGGCTAACGTTAGCACTGGCTGCTACAGATGGGCTAACGTTAGATCTGGCTGCTACAGATGGGCTAACGTTAGCTCTGGCTGCTATAGATGGGCTAACGTTAGCCCGTCTTATATATTCGGTCCTATATGGAACTTCCTCTGCAAACACCAGAGAGGCTCAGTTGAAGCGTGAACCGTGGTGCCCTCTGCTGGACGGTGGTGACATCACAGCAATGATAGAAACTGGCTGCTACAGACAGGCTAATGTTAGCACTGGCTGCTGAAGAAGTTAGCCCTGGCTGCTACAGATGGGCTAACGTTAGCTCTGGCTGCTACAGATGGGCTAACGTTAGATCTGGCTGCTGCAGATGGGCTAACGTTAGCTCTGGCTGCTGCAGATGGGCTAAGGTTAGCCCTCGCTGCTACAGAAGGGCTAACGTTAGCTCTGGCTGCTTCAGATGGGCTAACATTAGCACTGGCTGCTACAGATGGGCTAACGTTAGCTCTGGCTGCTGCAGATGGGCTAAGGTTAGCCCTCGCTGCTACAGAAGGGCTAACGTTAGCTCTGGCTGCTTCAGATGGGCTAACATTAGCACTGGCTGCTACAGATGGGCTAATGTTAGATCTAGCTGCTGCAGATGGGCTAAGGTTAGCCCTCGCTGCTACAGATGGGCTAACGTTAGCACTGGCTGCTACAGATGGGCTAACGTTAGCACTGGCTGCTACAGATGGGCTAACGTTAGATCTGGCTGCTGCAGATGGGCTAACGTTAGCTCTGGCTGCTGCAGACGGGCTAAGGTTAGCCCTCGCTGCTACAGATGGGCTAACATTAGCACTGGCTGCTACAGATGGGCTAACGTTAGCTCTGGCTGCTGCAGAAGTTAGCCCTGGCTGCTACAGATGGGCTAACATTAGCTCTGGCTGCTACAGATGGGCTAACATTAGCACTGGCTGCTACAGATGGGCTAACGTTAGCTCTGGCTGCTACAGATGGGCTAACGTTAGCTCTGGCTGCTACAGATGGGCTAACGTTAGCTCTGGCTGCTGCAGAAGTTAGCCCTGGCTGCTACAGATGGGCTAACATTAGCTCTGGCTGCTACAGATGGGCTAACATTAGCACTGGCTGCTACAGATGGGCTAACATTAGCACTGGCTGCTACAGATGGGCTAACGTTAGCTCTGGCTGCTACAGATGGGCTAACGTTAGCTCTGGCTGCTATAGATGGGCTAACGTTAGCCCGTCTTATATATTCGGTCCTATATGGAACTTCCTCTGCAAACACCAGAGAGGCTCAGTTGAAGCGTGAACCGTGGTGCCCTCTGCTGGACGGTGGTGACATCACAGCAATGATAGAAACTGGCTGCTACAGACAGGCTAATGTTAGCACTGGCTGCTGAAGAAGTTAGCCCTGGCTGCTACAGATGGGCTAACGTTAGCTCTGGCTGCTACAGATGGGCTAACGTTAGATCTGGCTGCTGCAGATGGGCTAACGTTAGCTCTGGCTGCTGCAGATGGGCTAAGGTTAGCCCTCGCTGCTACAGAAGGGCTAACGTTAGCTCTGGCTGCTTCAGATGGGCTAACATTAGCACTGGCTGCTACAGATGGGCTAACGTTAGCTCTGGCTGCTGCAGATGGGCTAAGGTTAGCCCTCGCTGCTACAGAAGGGCTAACGTTAGCTCTGGCTGCTTCAGATGGGCTAACATTAGCACTGGCTGCTACAGATGGGCTAATGTTAGATCTAGCTGCTGCAGATGGGCTAAGGTTAGCCCTCGCTGCTACAGATGGGCTAACGTTAGCACTGGCTGCTACAGATGGGCTAACGTTAGCACTGGCTGCTACAGATGGGCTAACGTTAGATCTGGCTGCTGCAGATGGGCTAACGTTAGCTCTGGCTGCTGCAGACGGGCTAAGGTTAGCCCTCGCTGCTACAGAAGGGCTAACGTTAGCT